AAAGACAATTCACCATGATCAAGTGAGTTTCATCACAGGCATGCAAAGATGGTTTTATACACACACACACACACACACACACACACACACACACACACACACATAAATAAATGTGATTCACCACATAAACAGAAGTAAAAACAAAAGGTATATGATCATCTCAGTAGATGCAGAAAAAGCATTCAATAAAATATGACACCTATTCATATAAAAACCCTCAAGAAATGAGGCATAGAGAGAACATACCTCAAAATAATGAAACTATATATGACAAACCTACAGCCAACATCATACTGAATTGGGAAAAGTTGAACACATTCACCCTAAGAACTGGAACAAAACAAGGGTGCCCACTGTCACCACTTGTATTCAACATAATAGTGAGAGTCTTAAACAGAGCAATCAGGCAAAAGAAAGAAATAAAGATGACACAAATCAGGAAAGAGGAAGTCAAACTCTCCTTGTTTTCTGATGATAAGATCCTGTATCTAGAAAACCATAAAGGCTTCATGAAAAACTCCTAGAATTGATAAATAAATTCAGCAAAGTCTTAGGTTACAAAATCAATGCACACATATCAGTAGCATTTTATATTTTAATAAAAGTTAAGCTGAGATTGAAATCAACAACTCAATACCATTTATAATAGCTTCAAAAAAAATTAAATACTTAGGAACAAATATAACCAAGGAGGTAAAAGACCCCTACAAGGCAAACTACTAAACACTGATGAAAGATATTACAGATGAAAAAAAAAAACAAATGAAAAAACATTCCATGGTCATTGATTGAAACAACCAACATTGTTAAAATGTCTATACTGCCTAAAGTGATTTACAGATTCAATTCATATGGAACCAAAAAAGAGCCTGAATAGCCAAAGAAATCTTAAGCAAAAACAACAAACTTAGAGGCATCACATTACCTAACTTCAAACTATATTACAAGGCTATTGTAATGAATAAAGTATGGTACTGTTATAAATGTAGACACACAGATGAATGGAATGGAATAAAGAACCCAGATAAAATCATTTAGCTATGACCAACTCATTTTCAACAAAGTGGACAAATATGTACACCTGAGAATGGATGCCATATTCGATAGATACTGCTGAGAAAATTGGAGAATCACATGCAGAAGAATGAAACAGGAACCTTATATCTTGTCATATACCAAAATTAACTCAAGATGGATTAAAGACTTAACTATAAGACCTGAAACCATAAATATTCTAGAAGAAAACAAGGCACACAAATAAGAGGCATTTATATACATCAATAACAGTCAAGCCAAAAATCAAATAAAAAACGCAGCACCTTTTACATTAGCTTCAAAGAAAATTAGATATCTAGGAATATATTTAACGAAAGAGGTGAGAGACATATACAGGGAGAACTACAAAACACTAAGAAAAGAAACTGTAGAAGATGTAAACAGATGGACAAATCTACCTTGCTCATGGATTGGCAGAATCAACATTGTTAAAATGTCCATACTACCCAAAGTGATCTATAGAATGAATGCAATCCCTATCAAAGTACCATCATCATTCTTTAAAGATGTAGAAATAATAATTCTACACTTTGTATGGAATCTGAGAAGACCTCGTATAGACATAGCAATCTTAAGCAAAAACAACAAACTGGGAGGTATCAGTCTACCAGACTTCAAACTATACTACAAGGTTATAGTAACCAAAATAGCATGATACTGGCACAAGAACCGAAATTTAGACCTTTGGAATAGGACTAAGAACTCAGAAATGGAACCATCTGCACATTGTCATCTAATGTTTGACAAAGCAGACAAAAATATACATTGGGGAAAAGAATCCTTATTCAATAAATGGTGCTGGGAAAACTGGATAACTACATGCAGAAGATTGAAACTGGCACCCATCTCTCACCTCTCACAAAAATCAATTCACGATGGATAAGAGACTTAATCCTAAGGTATGAAACCATAAGAATCCTAGAAGAAAATGTACGGAAGACACTTTAAGACATCAGCATAGGCAAAGAATTTATGACAAAGACCCCCAAAGCAATCACAGCAAGAACAACAAAAAAATTAAATGAGGCATGATCAAATTAAAAAGCTTCTTCACAGCCAAGGAAACTATCATTAGAGCGAATAGACAGCCTTCATAATGGGAGAAAATATTTTCTGTGTACACATCTGATAAAGGGCTGATAACAAGAATCTATGCAGAACTCAAAAAAATCAACAAGAAAAAATCAAATAACCCCATTAATAAATGGGCAAAGGACATGAACAAAAAATTTTCAAAAGAAGACAGAATGTTGGCTAGCAAACATAAAAAATGCTCAACATCTCTAATCATTAGGGAAATGCAAATCAAAACAACAATGAGGTATCACCTAACTCTAGTGAGAATGGTCTTTATCAAAAAGTCCTAAAATAACAAATGCTGGCAAGGATATGGACAGATAGGAACATTGTTACACTGCTGGTGGGACTGCAAATTATTACAACCTCTGTGGAAAAGAATTTGGACATACCTCAAAGAGCTGAAAATAGAAATACCATTTGATCCAGCAACAGCACTACTAGGCATCTACCAAAAGGAATAAAAGTGGCCGGGCGCTATGGCTCACGCCTGTAATCCTAGCTCTTGGGAGGCCGAGGCGGGTGGATTGCTCAAGGTCAGGAGTTCAAAACCAGCCTGAGCAAGAGCGAGACCCTGTCTCTACTATAAATAGAAAGAAATTAATTGGCCAACTGATATATATATAAAAAATTAGCCGGGCATAGTGGCGCATGCCTGTAGTCCCAGCTACTCGGGAGGCTGAGGCAGAAGGATCACTGCAGCCCAGGAGTTTGAGGTTGCTGTGAGCTAGGCTGACGCCACGGCACTCACTCTAGCCTAGATAACAAAGTGAGACTCTGTCTCAAAAAAAAAAAAAAAAAAAAAAAAAAAAAAAAAAAAAAAAAAAGGAATAAAAGTCATTCTATCATAAAGACATCTGCACTCGAATGTTTATGGCAGCATAGTTCACCATTGCAAGGATGTGGAAACAACCCAAGTGCCCTTCAATCCAAGATTGGATTAATAAAATATGACCCACATCTTAAGGATGTAATGAGCATTGTAGAGGGGAAAGGATTACCTCTATCCCTTTTTAGGGAGAGGCAAAGAAACACACTGTAACAAAAATGTAAAAAAAAAAAATTTTGTTAATGGGAGGTGAACAGGTGGAAGGGGGCAGAAGGGGAAGGGTACACACTCACTTTCATGGTGGGTGAAGGGCGCACCACTTGAAGACTGGACACGCTTGAAGCTCTGGCAGAGCTGGGTGGGGAGGGGGAAGGGGCAAGATATGTAACCCTTTAACAATATTTGTACCCACAGAATTTGGGGAAATAAAAAAATAAATATAAAAAATAAATAAATAAAAAATATGGTATACAATGGAATACCACTCAATTACAAAATACAGCGGTGATCTATAACTTCTTATATTATCCTAGATAGAGCTTGAGTCCGTCCTCCAAAGTGAGGTATCAGAAGAATGGAAGAATAAGCACCATATGTACTCACCAGAAAATTGGGACTAATTGATCAGCACTAAGTTGTTCACATGGTAGTAATATTCACTGGGGGTGGGTAAACTCACAAATAATGATGCAGTAAGCATTGTATGGGGAAAAAGCAGGCCTCTAATCCTGGCTTGGGCGAGGCAAAGTTATAACATGTAACCAAAATGTTTGTACCCTCATAATATCCTGAAATAAAAAAAGAATTTATGACAAAGGCCCCAAAGGCAAATACAGCAACAACACAAATAAATATATCAGATAATTAAATTAACACGTTTCTGCATAATAAGGGAAGTGATCAGCAGAGTAAATAAGCAATCTATAGAATAGAAAATATTAACAAACCATACATCTGAGAAATTACAAATATTCAGAATCTACAAATAATTCAAGGAAATCAGCAATAAAAATACAAATAACCCCATTAAAATGTGGACAAAAGACATGAACAGAGGTTTTTCAAAAGAAGATAGACAATTGGTGAACAACTATATGAAAAACTCCTCAATATCTCTAATAATCAAGGCAATGACAATTAAAACCACAAGAAGATACCACCTTATCACTGTCAGAATGGCCTTTATTATAAAATCAAAAAACAACAGATGTTGGCATTGATGCAGAGAGAAAGGAACACTTATAAACTATTGGTGGGACTCCAAATTATTACAACCCCTATGGAAAACAGTATGGAGATCCCTCAAAGAACCAAAAGTAGACCTAGATTTGATCCAGCAATCCCACTATTAGATATCCACCAAAAAGAAAAGAAACTATCATATCAAAAACTTAACTGCACAAATATGTTTATTTCAGCACAATTCACAATTGAAAATATATGGAATCAACCTAAGTGCCCATAAATTGATGAGTGGATAAAGGAATTATGGCCTATATATGCCATGGAGTACTACTCAGCCATAAAAATGAATGAAAGAATATCTTTTGCAGCAACTTGGATGGAATTAAAATTACCCTAAGTGAAGTATCTCAGGAACAGAAAAAAAAAAACAAAACAAAACAACATGTTTTCACTATTAAGGGAGGTAAATTATAGGTACATATAGTCATATAGTGTTGTAAAAGATGCTGGAAAATAAGAAGTGCAGAGGATGAGAGGGAGTTGCAGGATAAAAACTTACCTAGTGGGTACAACATACACTATTCTGTTGACAGGCACACTAAAAGCCTTGACTTCAGCTTTATATAATTCATCCTTGTAACAAAAGCACTTGAACCCCCTTAATATTTTGTAATAAAAATAAAATAAAATAAAAACAATTTTTGTCAATTCTTCAATAAATATGAGAAAAATTTAATATATATTAAAGAGAAAAATAATATATATGAATGTATTATATATACAAATATTTTCCATTGTCCTGATAATTAAAATATTGAGGGTAAATTATTTACATGTAACAAAAAGATATTACCTGTTCCAAATACAGACTCACAACGTTGATTAGCATCAGGGCAGTCTCCATTATAACAAATTAATGTATTATTACTGCATTTATTTCCATTTTGTATAGTTATGTCAGGACCACATTCTGGTGAGGATCCATCACAAAACTCACTGATGTCACATTCAACATGCGCTGGGGGCCTACATACAACACCTGCACTTACAATCTAACAAAAATTAGAACATGAAAAAAAAATTATTACATTGTTTTGTAAGATTGTTGTGTTCATCAATATTTATTTGAAAATTGTGTCAAGCATTTGTACTTTTGATCTATTTATTAATTAATGTCAATTCCTTTTTGTATTAAAACAGGAGATATGTATGAGAAAACGTATATCAAAACTTGAATATGATAGAAGCCAAAGATTTATTTGTGTTTTAAATATAAGGAGGAAAGGTCACGTTAGCTTAGAAAAATTATGTCTTTTGAGCAAAAATATTGTAATTTATTCAATTGCCAAAAAAATATACTTATTCAAGCCATAGTTTGTAAGTGTGGAATACTTTTAAATTCTGTGACAAATGTCAAACATAAATAACTGCAGAGGACCCAGGAGGGTGATTAAAGATGCAGTTCAACTATAAGCATCTTTGGAGAGAAAGGAGCCCAACTCTACTCTTTCTCCTCAATTATTTTATAGTTAATTAACTCATTGTAGAACAAAATGTATATAAAGAATCTTAAATTAGCATCTATGTCCTAATTCTTAACTGATGACTTCCAGTCGACACTAAAAATATTACAGAGGTAAAAATGTAACTACATGATAAGATTCTAGAAAATAAAAACATAAAACTGTGTGAGTCGAGGACAGTTAAGAAGATAGAATGCATGATAGATAGTTCAACAGAGGTATTCTCATATAAGAAACTTCTTACAAATGTATTGGAAGACCTGAAAAGGAAAACAGGGAAGAGAAGTCAACATCTTTACCACATTAATTAAAATGTAATCTTTCAGTCAAACAATTTTTTCTTTTTTTTTTCTTAATTTGACACAGGGTCTTATTCCGTTGCCTGAGCAAGAGTGCAGTGGCATCATCATACCTCACTCTAACCTCAAACTCCTGGGCTCAACAGATCCACCTGCCTCAGCCTCCTGATTAGCTGGTCACAGGTATATACCTCCACACACAGCTAGTTTTTCCATTTTTTGTAGAGATGAATTCTTGCTATGTTGCTCAGGCTGGTCTCAAACTCCTAACCTTAAGCAATCCTCCCATTCCTATCTCCCAAAGTGCTAGGATAACAGGTGTGAGCCACTACACCTGGTCTTTTTTTTTTTTTGTAACCATCTTTGAATAATAAGTTCAGAGTTTAAATTTTGTGCTACATGCACCATTTGGAAAATGTTACTTCTACTGAGTTTCATTCATTATATAATTATGAAAAACTGCTATGTCTTTCAACTACATACATAGAAATACTTAACATAACCAGTAATAACATTTTTATTTATAATAATATAAATATTGGATATGGTAAATGGATAGTAATCCCTTTCAATGGAGATCTTCTCTTCTGTAGCTAAGAATTCTATAATAGCTCAAAGGCTTAAAATTCAAGGCTTAAAAAATAACAAAATTAAGTTAGTGAGAATGTTGTCATAGAAGGTGCCCCCAAAACTCAGGAAAAGTTGACAAAATCAGAAATCTGATTCCAAATTTATTACCTTTTTGTTTATCTGCAAAATCATTATATTTTGACTTACAGCTGTAGGTCTAAGTGTTCTAAAGTACCCTGCATATGACTTGTTATATACTTAGAAGATGTTAATAAACTTAAATCTTACTTGACAGTTTTTGCAACATGATCCTTTATGACACTGTGCTCCTTGTTTCAGCACACAATTTTGAGGATCGCAACAGCTATCAGGTCCACATTGCTATAAGTAAATAAAATGTACAAGTAAAAATTCATCCTGACAATGACAAAAACTTTACTAGAAGCTATATTTTTGATGAGCTTAATTTTTGAGATTTAGAAAAGGACACGAATGCTCCTGACACTTAATAGGTTTTAGCATCTCTAAATATTTAAAATACTAATTAATGTAAGACTTTTATATCAGGTCACAACAGAGTCAACAGTAGCCCACTTATCTTCCTATCCAATTAGAAAACATGGAAAACATGATTTACTTCTTCCAGAAACTGAATGACAGACAAAGCAGAAGTATGATCCCTTGGAGAAGAGAAACAATGAGATAAGTTCTGAGTTACCAGCTCTCTGCCTCGAGGTGTTTGCCCAAGTAGAGCATAATCTCATTGACTTGAAAAGTCAAAGATGGTAGTTTGAAGTTGCTGAATTAGTGGGGCTGTTGAACAGTATGACAGCAAAAGAAAGACTTATAGAGTTCTGAATAGCAGTCATCTTGAGCCTTTGGTGGAGCTATATATACATAAAACAAGAAAAACTACCAAGAAAAAAAGACTGCCAGGACACTGAAAGCCAAAAACCACAGGTATTTGGGACAGGATATATTGGGGTTCCAACTAGCCATAAGAGAAAATCTTCATTGAACAGCCAGGATATTCAGTAGATATTCAGAACTAGGTATTACATGAATATAGGGTAAGACAAACTCTAGAGAGAAAGCCATTTTAAACTACTCTTGAAAATATGTGTTTCAAAACTACCAAACTGATTGACAATCAACTTAAATGTAGCAAGAACAGAGTCTAATATGCTTTAAAGGATGATGAAAAAATCCAAACGCTCCATAAAATAATAGGCAAAATATCTAGCATTCAATAAAGAGAGAGAGAGAGAGAGAGAGAGAGAGAGAGAGAGAGAGAGAGAAATCAGGCCATAGAAAAAGACTCAGAAATAATAACGATGATAGAATTAACAGGCAACTTAACATAGCATGTATGTATGTGTGTGTGTGTGTGTGTATATATATATATATTTTTTCCTTTTTAGAATTTTTTTCCTTTTTAGAATTCCCTTAAAATAAAATTAACAATTCAAAGAAAAAATAATATTAATATATTGTTGGGTTAATAACACATATAGAAATAAAAAGTATTCCAACTGGGGGATGGACACGCTTGAAGCTTTGACTCGAAGGGGGAGGGGGCAAGGGAAATATACATAACCTCAACATTTGTACCCCCATATATGCTTGAAAAAAAAAAGTATTATCGCAATATCACAATAAATGGGGAGGGATGGAACAATACTGTTTTATGGTTCATTCATTATATGTGAAGTTGTGTAATAGTGTGATGGCAGATTAAGATAAATTAAAGATGCATATTATAAACCCTAGAGAAACAACTATAAAACATATAAGTACAGCTAATAAGCTAAATAAAGAGATGAAACAATACCAAAATATGGCCAATCAAAAGAAAGCAGAAAGTAAGAGGAAAAGAACTGGTGGACAAACAGAAAAAAAATGAATTAAATAAATATATATCCAAAACCACAATGAGATATCACCTAATCCCAGTGAGACTGGCCTGTATTAAGAAATCCCAAAACTACAAATGCTGGTGAAGATATGGAGAGACAGGAACACTCTTACACTGCTGGTGGGACTGCAAATTAGGGCAACCTTTGTGGAAAAGAATTTGGAGATACCTCAAACAGCTAAAAATAGAAATACCATTTGACCCAGCAATAGCATTATTAGGCATCTACCCAAAAGAGCATAAGACATTCTATTATAAAGACATCTGCACCTGGATGTTTATGGCAGCACAATTCACTATTGCAAGGACATGGAAACAACCCAAGTGCCCGTCAATTCATGAGTGGATTATTAAAATTTGGTATATGTTCACAATGGAATACTACTCAATTCTAAGAAATGACAGTGAGCTAGCACTGCTTATATTATCCTGGATTAAGCTTAAGCCCATTATCCAAAGTTAGGTGACACATGATCAGAAAAATGGGCTTCACATCTACTCGCCATCAAATTGATACTGACTGATTAACACTATGGTGCTTAAATGATGGTGGTATTCACTAGGGATTAGGGGGTTGGGGAGTAGACTCACATCTGAGGGATGTGGTAAGGATCATGGAGGGGAAGAGCATACCTCTAACCCTTGCTAGGGAGAGGCAAAGATATAAAATGTAACCAAAATGTTCCTACTTTCATATTTTCTTGAAATAAAATAAATAAATAATATATATGAAACCAATCATAGTAATTACTATATTAATGAAAATGGATTAAGCACATATATTAAAGGCAGCAGTTATCAGTATAACAGTAAAAAAGCAAGACCCAACTATATGCTATCTACAAGAAATCCATATTAACAATAAAGACACATGGCTAAAAGTAAAAAGGATGAAAAAGACACAGAATGCAAACATGAATCATAGAAGGAAGCAGAAGCCACCACATCAATGTCAGGCAGGGTAGAATTTGGGTAAAGAATATTAAGTAAAACTAATCGGACATTTCATGATAAGAATCAAGTCATCATGAGGCCGGGCGCTGTGGCTCACGCCTGTAATCCTAGCTCTTGGGAGGCCGAGGCGGGCGGATTGTTCAAGGTCAGGAGTTCAAAACCAGCCTGAGCAAGAGCGAGACCCTGTCTCTACTATAAATAGAAAGAAATTAATTGGCCAACTGATATATATATAAAAAATTAGCCGGGCATGGTGGCGCATGCCTGTAGTCCCAGCTACTCGGGAGGCTGAGGCAGAAGGATCACTCGAGCCCAGGAGTTTGAGGTTGCTGTGAGCTAGGCTGACGCCACGGCACTCACTCTAGCCTGGACAACAAAGCGAGACTCTGTCTCAAAAAAAAAAAAAAAAAAAAAAAAAAAAAAGAATCAAGTCATCAAGGAGACAAAAATTTTAAAGGTATATGAACCAAGTAATAGTGTTTCAAAAAACTGATGCAAAAACTGTCAGGTTGAAAAGAGAAATAGAAAATCTATAATTATAATTAAAAATTTCAAATATACTCTCTTAGTAAGTGATAAATGAAAAGAATATCAGAAAGGGTATAGAATATTTGAATAAGACTAACACCAACTTGCCCAAATTGACACTTAGAAAACATTATACACCAAAGTGTAACAATTGACGTTACTTTCAAGCTTGTGAGGGACAGTCACCAAAATATTAATAAATAATATCCTAGGCACAAAACAACTCTCAATATATTTAAAAGAACCAAGTCATATAGCATATGTTTTCTGAGTACAGTGTAATAAAATTAAAAACCTGAAAAGCTGATAAATTCTTAAATAACTGGTAATCAAGTCATATGTATAAATATTGCAGGTATCAAAGAAATCACAAAAAAGAGAAAATATTCTAAGTTGAATGATAAACCAAAGGGCAATAAAACATGTTTTGTAGCTAAAGCAATCCTACAAGGAAATCTACTCAGTACAAAACATATATTAGAAAAAGAAGAAAGAAATCAATGATCTAAGCCTACACTTTAAAAAGCTAGAAAATGAAAAAAGAAATAAAACTCAGTATAAGTAGAAAGAAAGAAGCAATAAAGATAAGATCAGAAAACAATGAAGTAGAAAATAAATAACAGAATATCCATAACATTATGTAATGGCTCTTAGAAAAGTTAAAACTAAATTAATTAGGTTCCGGCTAGACTGAATGTGAAATGAACTGGACATTCAAAGTACCAGTATCAGAAATGAAAGAGAAGAATCACTACAGATCCCACAGCAAGTAAATAGAAAATAAGGAAATATTATGAATGATTTTTTTTGCCAAAAAATATGGCAAAAAAATGGACATCTTTCCTTAAAAACACAAAGTAAAAAAAATGACAAGAATATTAGAAAATATGAATGGTCCTATATGTATTACAGAAACTGAATTTGCAAATAAAAATTCTCCCCTTGAAGAAAATTCCAGCTGATAAGGCTTCATTTGTGAATCTTATCAAACATTTAATATAGAAATAATAGCAGGGTAATATTAGTAAGATGGTGAAATAGGATATTCCAGCCCTCATCCCCCCCATAGAAACATCAATTTAACACAGGCATACACATAAAAATACTTGTATGGAAAGTCCAGACTCCATTTAACACCTTTTGGACTGCTCACGAGTGTTTTTGTGTTTCACACACCATCTGTTAAGGACCGCTCAGGAGTTTTCTCGTGTTTCATGCGCCATCCATTATGGACCTTAGATGTCAACACACTGTCTTGTCTATTAGGGAGAGTAGAGGTTTACTGCCAAATTTGCAAATGAAAATGTCAAGAATGAAGAAAGATAACATAATATTTTCCAGAAAAGGCGATATTCTTCTCCTAGCATGGAAAGGCAAGCAGGTTGTCCGAATGATATCAATGATCCATGACACTTCTGTCTTGACAACAGGAAAAAAAAAAAATAGAAAAACGGGAGAGAATATTGTAAAACCTGGCTGCATCAAGGAATACAATGCCCACATGAAAGGTGTTGACCATGGGGATCAATTCTTTTTGTGAAATGGACAAAAAAAGTAGTGCTATACCTTATAAACTGTGGACTTTTCAATTCATTTATAGAGTTCAACGTCCTCAATGAACAAGCAAAAAATGAAGTATAAACAGTTTCTGCTATCGGTGGCGAGACTGGATAACGGATGACAATGATGAAGGCTCTCCGGAACCAGAGACAAATCTGTCCAGCCCTTCCCCTGGGGCTGTAAGGAGAGCACCTCGTAAAGATCCACCCAAAAGGTTGTCAGGTGATCTGAAGCAGCGTGAACCTACGTGTATTCCAGCGAGTGGAAAGAAAAAATTTCCTACGAGAGCCTGCAGAGTTTGTGCCGCCCATGGAAAAAGGAGCACATCTAGATACTTATGTAAATTTCGTCTGGTCCCTCTTCGTAGAGGAAAATGTTTTACGTGGTACCATACGTTAAAAAAGTACTAGGAACTTTGTTTAAT